TTTCTTGAGCAAGGTTTAGTTAATGTTCTGTAGCTGTGCCTTCCAAAAGCCACCAGCTGTCCCCAAATCACACGAAACTACTTTAACACAGGATTCAAGGCTCCATAAATTCCTGGTCCAACCATTCCAGCTTTACCACACGATAGTCCGTGCAGTGACTCACATTCTATCTTCTATTTACTTTTGATCTCTGTAGAATCTAGAGACCTTAACCACTATACATTTTATCTCTTTGCTCTTGTAGTAAGTTCATAAAAACTATTTTCCTCTTTAAAAAAAAAACAAAAGTGCAACAAAAGAAAAACTAAACTGGACTTCAAACAGAATCAAAAATTTTTGTGCAGCAAAGAACATTTGCTAGAATGAAAAAGGAGCCAAGTCTGGTGGCTCATGCCTGCTGTCCCAGCTACTTGGGAGATTGATGCAGGAGGCTTGCTGGAATCCAGGACTTTGAGACCAACCTGGACTACACAGTGAGACCCCATCTCTACAATTAGCTATTTAAAAATTAGCCAGGTGGGGTGGCATGCACCTATAGTGCCAACTATTCAGGAGGCCAAGGCAGGAGGATCATTGAATCCAGGATCACTGAGTGTTCAAGGCTGTAGTGAGCTATGATTGTGCCATTGTACTCCACCCTGAGCAACAGTGAGCTTATGTTTCTAAAAAACTAAAGAAAGAGCGAAAAGGCAACCCACAATGTGAGAACATACTTGTAACTCATATCCAAGAAGGGATTAGTAACCTGAATTCTGGCTCGGCGCCTGTGGCTCAAGTGGCAAAGGAGCCAGCCACATACACCTAAGGTGGCAGGTTGGAATCCAGCCCGGGCCCGCCAAACAGTAATGATGGCTGCAACTAAAAAATAGCCGGGCACTATGGCAGGCGCCTGTGGTCCCAGCTACTTGGGAGGCTGAGGCAGGAGATTTGCTTGAGTCCAGGAGTTAGAGGTTGCTGTGAGCTGTGATGCCACAGCACTCTACCCAGGAGGGTAGCTTGAGGTTCTGTCTCAAAAATAAATAAATAAATAAATCTTGAATTTTAAATATAAAGAATTTCTAAAACTCAACAACAAAAAATAAGTAAACTTTGAATAGACATTTCTCCAAAGATAACATATTATACAAAACAGGAAAATGCAAATCAAACCCACGAGACGCCACTTCACCATTAAGATGGTGATTGTCAAAATCAAGCAAGCAAACTCAAGCCCAGAAATACCAATTATTAGTCAGACTGTGGAAAAATCAGAACCCCCGTGCACTGCTGGTGGGAACATAAAAATGATGCAGTTGTATGGAAATTAAACATAGATTTCCCATCAAATCCAGAAATTCCATTTCTGGGTATGCACCCCAAAGAGCTGAAAGCAGGAAATCTAACAGATGTGTGTCCGCCAGTGCTCACAGTAGCATAGTCACTAGTCAAAGGTAGAAAACAACCCAAACGTCCACGACTGATGAATGGATCCACAAAATGCGGCAGACACACAATGGCATATTTGGCATTCAAGATTAAAAAAACCCTGATACATGCTCCAACACGGATAAACCTCGAAAAAGTTACACTAAGCGAAATAAACCAGACACAAAAGGACAAGTATTGTATAAGTTCGCTTTTATGAGGCCCTCAAAACGCCAAATTCAGAGACAGTGATTAGGAGGCCTGGGAGGCGGAAGAACCAGGGAGTTGCTGCTTAACGGGTGCGGTGTGTCAGTTTGTGACGATGAGAACGTTCTGGGGACAGACGATGGAAATGGTCACGGGACATGTGAATGTGCTGAATGCCACTAACTGTATCTCTGAAAACGGTTAAGACGGTAGACTTTGTTATGTATATTTTACACTTAAAAAAATGAGGGTTCAACTAAACGTTAACTCCATTAATCTTCTCAATATTTAATATAGATATTACTAATTATTATACTGGTTTGTCAGTTGGATATAAAATGAGTCTTCCTGGGCAGCACCTGTGGCTCAAAGGAGTAGGGCACTGACCGCATATGCCGGATGTGGCGGGTTCAAACCCAGCCCCGGCCAAAAACTGCCAAAAAAAAAAAAAGTCTCCCTACAAAGTTAGAAAAACCTTTAAAATTAGAGACTATCTCTTAGGACATTTTTATTAAGCAATGTTTAAAATTTGGCCTATAAGATGAAAATAATTTATCAGAAACAAGCACACTCAAGAAACCTGGGCTGCGGATTCATCTTCTCCATCGGTCCCTGGTTCTGCTATGACTGATACTCCTCATTTGTGTAGTGCCCTTCATCTCATCATTGTTACCACTCAGACAAGACAGCTAAAATTGTAAAGTATTAATAAATCGAACAATGGCACGTAGGATTCAATGCTAAGCTTGAATTTCACAGACTCCTGTATTAATAAAAGCAGAGGGAGAGAAAATGATTCCAAGAAATATATATATTTCTAGGTCTAAAATCAGATAAAACATCTTAAGTTGGAATAACAGGGCTATCGTGGCACACGTTACTAACACAGTGTAAGAATTTCACATAATAATCTATGTTTTATCAAAAGGAACTTTTCCAAGGATAGTCACATAAATAATCTCAGAAACTCAGAATCCCATTATTACTAGGGGAGATGGATATGTGGCTTTATTTAGTAAAGAAAAACTAAAACCAGTATTCACTATTTTTAGAAGCAAATTAAAAACATACATAAAGATCAAAATGAATCTAAAGGGCAGCACCTGTGGCTCAAAGGAGTAGGGCGCTGGCCCCATATATGGGAGGTGGCGGGTTCAAACCTGGCCCTGGCCAAAAACTGAAAAAATAACAAAAAAACAAAAAAGAATCCAAAATTTGAAATGATCATTAAATAAAAGCAAGAAACAATTAGAACAGGGTAACTAAAAATAACAAACTGCACAAATGGAAGCAATTGGCTGGCGGTAAGCACGGAGGAATCTGGGCCTACAAACGACATGAATCAACAGTACAGCCCTGCTGTTTTGGAAGAAATGATATTGCAATAAATGCCAATGATCTACAAGCTGAGATAACTTAATATTTGAATTTCCACATCTTCACATAGGCCAAAATAAAGGGTCACAGTCATTTTAATCTTGCTCCTAAGTCTTTGAATATAGCAGACACTTCATAAAAATTACTGGCTAGGCTCAGTGCCTATAGCTCAGTAGCTAGGGCACCAGCCACATACATCACAGCTGGCAGGTTCAACCCCAGCCCAGGGCCTGCCAAACAATGACAACTACAACTACTACAACAACAATAAAAAAAAATAGCTGGGCATTGTGGCGGGTGCCTATAGTCCCAGCTACTGGGAGGCTGAGGCAAGAGAATTGCTTAAGCCCAAGAGTTGGAGGCTGCTGTGAGCTATGATGCCACAGCACTCTACCAAAGGGCAACATAATGAGACTCTGTCTCAAAAAAAAAAGGAAAAAAAGAAAAAAAGATTACTGGCTAAATGAAGATCATTAAATAAGAACCTGGAGCCTCTGAGTAGCTAGGGGTCCCCACTGCCAAAACAGAAACCTTAACACACAGGATGTGTTACTGTCTTAGTAAAAATCCGTAACATTAAAATACTGCAAGAAACAATGGTATGTGACTCCAAATTCTGTCCTCAGAGTTTAAGGACAAGGTAGTGAGGAGCAATCAAGGAGTCACGATCTTTCCACAGGGAACACGGCAGCTCTTAAAATCTTGACAGACGTATTAAGGAGATGGCTTGCCAAGGACAAATGGGAGGTTAAGTTATTTAATTGGAAGAGCCAAGGAGAAGAATGAGATAAGCTCTGACATGAGGAGCATTAGTGTGGGCCGGGGTTTCCTGCCACCAGTGTAGAAGGTGAGGGGTCGACTGGCTTAGCCTTTTCTGAATTTATCAAAAACACGTGCAGAATACACCAATCTTTTTTAAAGTGCTAGGAGACTGTCATTTCACATGATAGACCACACTAGAATATTTGGTAATTATCTTTTAATCTAAAAAATGAATGAAGGTACAAAATAAGAAAATGGTCAAGTTCTGTTCATTGATGACAAACTTGAAGAGAGAAATCTGACCCGCATTTATCTGTTTTTCCTCATTCCTACCAACGATACTAGGCTTTCGTTTACTTATCAGTTCAGTATCTTAATGCTAAAGTTAATAATTCTTTATACTTAGTTTTGAGATTAAAGTTTGAAAAAGATTGTTTTTACTATGCCTACATAAAATGGGATTTAAAAAGTTTATTTCTAAAAAGCATTTAATTAATACAGTGAACAAAATTAAGACAAAGTGAAGGGAAATATTTTAAAAAATCACACTAATAATGAAGACTTTAATGATAATCAAGATAACTTTATTAATGGCAATTCTAATTCTTAAATCTCTAATTAGAAATACAGTAAAATGTTATATAAAGTTCCCTTTTCTGACAGGAGTAAAGAAATCATTATCAGCCTTTGAGAATAGAAATAATAGGTAAATATTACTATAAACAAAGAAGATTTCTGCCTTTTACTATTTTTAGAATAGATTTATCACTTAAGAATCATGTTAAAAATTAGTAAGAAGTTTTGAAAAAGCAATCAACTTCTAGGTTTATGGTAATTGCCCTGTAACAGCTTTACAATAAAAAATATATTTAGATAAATGCACTTAACATGTAGTTCTTTAAAGAGTATTAAAATTTTAATAGTGAGATGAATCAATGACAAGAAACTTATCATCTCCCTCAGGAAAAAGAAACTAAATACTCCATAATAAAACAACGATTGGGACCCTAAATTACATTCTGATGTCAAGAAAGTCAATTTAGTGATTTAATTTTTCCACAAAATGAGTGATCACTATGACTTCTATACCAACAGAGGTATAATTTAGGGAAAAGAGTAAATCTATGAGGATTTGAAAATTGTTCCTATCCACTTCCTATTTAAGATGTGATGATTTATGGCTCTGACAGATTATAATTTTCAGGAAATATGCAAGAAATCCATGTCAAAGAAAAACAGTGGACCTCAAAGGCATGAGCTTTTGTCACTTTATTGTTGACCAATGAATATCGTCCAAAATTAGAGATGTAACTGTAACTTAATTGTACAACACAAAGTGTGCTAATGGCAAAAGCCTGTTGGTATTTACCAAATACTCATTAGTGCATTTTTACATTGCTATATGAACATGTGCTCTCAACTGCTATGATAAAAGTTATAATTGATTTAATCCTTATGAAGACCCATATTGCAAATGGTTGTTCTTGTTTAGAAAAATTCACACATCTTTAAAAATGGATCAAATCCATTTCAATCCTAATCTACAAATAGATTATAAACAGCAAATATAACTGGTAATTTTTCAACACTGTATTAAACTGATGTAGCAATGGTAGGGCACACAACTCAAAATGAGGAAAATTAATAAAAATCCACTGGAAATGCAGGTTTTTCACTTCTTATGGCAACTGCTTAAGGTGAACACTTATGTTTGAAAGCATGAATAGCAGGGTCCACCATCACTTCCTGTAACGTACCACAGGAAGGAATAAGCATTTCCTTCTGTAGGGTTTTGAAGCTTGTGCACAACCAAAGTACAACAGTCACTTCAAGGCTAACCAGTTATCTTTTGTCCTACAAACTCCAAAAAATATATTAAATGCAACCTTTCCTTTGTATAATGGTCTGCCCAGATTAATCCTTTTAAAGTCAGCAAAATCAAAAAAGCACAAAGAGATATTTTCAGACACAACTTACATCTATTGTGCATGAAAAATATTTAATAAAATGGCAATTTTAATAGACAAATATAAATTTGAGTGCATAATACCAAATGGGAAGTAGCTGAACCACACAGAGAAAACAAGGCTTTCCACATCTCCAAATCTAGGTGTCTCACAACAAAGAAAATATTAGAACATGGAATATTTTAGAACATCTTTCTACCTGGAAAGATTTCTTCAGTAAGATTTAATTGAAATTAATATAAACTAAAATTATAATTTCTAAAATAGGATTAACCAAATTTAAGTATTTTTAGTTAGAGACTGAAAAAATTAAGCACAGTGATTTAGAAACCAAAGACACTAAAATGATTATATAGTTAATCTATCAAGAAATGAAGGGAAAGTCTTCATATGCTACAAGAATAACATCTCTCTCTCCCTGCCCTACCACCCCATACACACACACACACCCACACACCCACACACCCCTTTCCTCAGCCATACAACACCCCTCCAGGAAGACAGCATACTAGGGAGAGCTTACAATTTTGATATGAATCAGAGTCCCCAGATTGAGTCAACAAAAAGGCAGCTAAAAATTTAGGCAGCCTCAGAAAAAAGGGCAGACTCCAAGATATTCCAAAGAAAAATGAAATTTCAAACATATTCCTGCATAATTGAGACTATTACTATGAATTATAAAACATACGGCTTACATACTCCACTGCGTCTTAACCACCAGTCATCACAGGTGTAGTAGTGAGGTAGTATTACTGTCCCCTTTTGGGACTGTTAGTTTTCTAAGCCGCCATTCCAGAAAGGCCAAGTGTTTTTTAAATGATTAAAATCAATTACCAACAAATGTGCACTTTCTTTTATTAATCATTTGTTTTTCTAAGACAATCTATGAAAAAGCAAAACTCTTTAAAATCTTTCAGAGACTTTTATCAGTAAATTCTCCAGGAGAACTGCTGCCTGCTGTCTATGCCTCTGTGAATCGGCAAGCAAAGAAAACTGTCATGTGATTATAGGATATGAAACACCAATCAGTTTAGCGATCAAAGATGACTGCAGTTAAGTAAATATTAAATATCCAATAATTGGGATTTAAAAATAAGTAACAGCCAATTGTACTATACTATGAAATGTTCTAGTCTCTTGCATGATTCATAGCCATCTTCTACACAATGATCAGAGACTGTCCACTCTGCTCCCTGCCGTCATTCAGACACTGCCTGATCTGTATGAGAGCAGAACTGTGGCCACAGCACGGCAGGACATGAGATGAGCACACAGAGGACATGTGGGTGAGCGAGAATGTGGACGTATGTGCAGGTTAAACACGGCAGGGGCAAGGGAAACACTCATTAAAACATTCACCATTATCCTTTAACATGTACAAAGTGCTCAACCAAACATACATATTTGTCATACATGATCATTAGTGTTAAGTTTCAACAGAAAAAAAAAAATGGAAAGTGAAAAAGTGTGAAGGGAGGTGATGAAACACCATTCTCTATTCCCTGACACAAAGGAAAATGAAAACCAAGCATGACATCACACTGCCTTAAGTCGACGTGCGCCCCTGAAATTTGTCTTTTAGCCACCACAGTCAAACCGATACAAGTGCTTTGGCAAGGTGGGTGCATTCCATCACATCTGCAAAGGCCTGCTTTTCTCTGCTGGTGGTTCAGCCTATGAAGAGCATGTATGCAAAGTACCAGCGCTCACATTGCTTCAAACTCGTCGATGCGCTGCTTGGTGTTGCCTTGGCGAATCTGCCGCAGCGTCTTGTACTTATCGCGGCCTGCTTTCACGTTCTCAGCGTGGAGAACATCGTTCTGGGTTTTCTTGGTTTCATCTCTGGCTTGGGCTAGTTCTGAACTTAATGCCTGTATTTAAAAAATAAAAAGTATGACTATTATTTTTCTCAGGTTTAAAAAATATTATGAAAACGGTTTAAAGATTCATACACACGTGTCAAATCTCTTGAGTTTTTAATACATTAAAATTTCCACTGTGAAACTTTTTTCTTTGAACTGTTTTAGTAACAGTGATGACAATAGGGAGGAAGGCCTTTCATATCTACCTTCAACCACCATGATATTTTGCATATTGTTTTAAATTTTCTTAACTTTCTCATCAAATACTTGAAATGACTTACAAAAAAGTTCAATGGAGCCAAGTTCACTGTCACTACAAGATCTAAAATGTACACTTGAGAGAAACTTTCTTCAAAGTCTTAATATACAAATATTTATTGCAAATATCACCTCATTTTCCTTTACTAATAAAGATTCACCAGTTAAAGTATTAGATAACTTAGCAAGAATAAAGCTCTCATAACATTTAAATTCCCTATTTTGATCCAAGTATGTGCATTTGATAAACTGCCTTTTGCCCTTATAAAATCTGAGTAAGAGAAGCCGGGCATGCTGGCTCACACCTGTAATCTCAGCACTCTGGAAAGCTGGGGCGAATGGATTGCCTAAACTCAGGAGTTTGAGAACAGCCTCAGCAAGAGGGAGACCCCATTTCTAAAAATAGGCAGGTGTTGTGGTGGACTCCTGTATTCCCAGCTACTTGGGAGGCTCAAGCAGGAGGATCACTTGAATCCAAGAGTCTGAGGTTACTGTGAGCTATGATGCCCCAGCACTCTACCAAAGGTGACAAATTGAGACTCTGTCTCAAAAAAAAAAAACAAAAAGACGAGTATGTAGAGTATGTAGTATCTTAAACGCAGTCTATTCCGTATCATTGACTTTCGATGTACATTTTACAGTTTCAAAACTAAATTCATTTGTTTCTTACAAGGCATTAGAATACTTTCTACCTTTTGAAATGGATCAAGCTGTAATTAGATCACTCCTTAGGTTAAGGTCCGATTACAAAAAGCTAACAGACATTTGCTAATGGGGCCGTGCAATACAAGAAATGAAATGGCATGACTGTCGGCTACTCATGCACAAACCAATCACAAGGCTTCTTCAGAATCCTCTTCTATTTAAATGAGTTTGTCTTGGATGGGAAAAAGTGAATTGCATTTTAAATGTGCATGCAACTGCAAATTTTACATACCTGGAGTTGCTTCTTAACACGCTCATTCTTCTGTGTCTCTGTCACCCGTTCCTCCTCACTCCTGTGGTTCATCACCCCTTCGTTCAGTAACTCAGCACTGGCCTCGGCATTATTCTCATCATGCTCATCATGGTCATTTTCTGTTGGCGGAATGACTGGTGGAGGTGGAGGCGGAGGAGGGGCAGACATCACAGTTTTTAACTCTTCTTTGGTTTTTTCCAAGTCTTCCTGGGCTGCAAAAGCCTAAACATTAAAAATAAGTTTGAGTAATTTACTTTAAAAATTGTTAATTTACAAAAATCCAATTACCATGCCTTTCTAACAGAAACTCTATTTCAAGGTAATGAAAATAGGCCCTATTGATGAAAGATCTATTTTTCTCAAAGAATGCCAGCAGGTAGGAAAGATAAACATTTAGGCTCGGCGCCTATAGCTCAAC